GACCTGGGACACCTTATAAAGAAACCTGAACTCACTGTGGCAAGTACCCACTTATCTGAAGTTGTAGCCTCCCACTGATGGACATGGAGGCAGCCTTTTATCAATAAGTTGCACAGCTCTGTAGTCACTTTGAACGTCGGTAAAGGCGACTTCCTGCTCCTTGAAAGGGCCGTTTGCCCTGAGACAGCTGACGACTCCTGAAGTCTGACCTATCAGGCTGTCTGTCCTGGCGACTAGGGTACAACTGTTGTAACTGCTGATAGTTCGAACCCTGATCAGGGGCTCGAAAGGACTGTCTCCTATAATATGGAGATGGCCAGTGGTCCCCCTCCTGTAGAAGGAAGGAATGGTTTTACCTTTGCCTCTGGTCTCAACTAGGATAGGGTCCAGAACTTCTCCAAATAATTTGTTGCCTGTAAAGGGAGCTGAAGCCAATTTCCATTTGTTTTTGTTTTCAGCCTGCCAGTGCTTAAGCCAAAACAGGTGATGGGTAGTCATTGAGGATGCCCGTGAGACGAATTTGGCCACATTCAATGTCACATCCGCTGAAAATTCAGCAGCAGCTATTAATTTATTAATATCTTGGTGTACCCTTGCATCTTCTGGTGGAATGCATTCCTGCATTTGGTGAAGCCAGAGCACTGAAACACGATTGAAAAATGAAGGCTGCCTCGCCTGCCTTCACTGCCCAGGCAGCCGCCTGATGGGCCTTACATAACAACAATTCAGCTTTCTTGTCGTCAGGTCTCAAGCAATCTATTGCATCAGTTGGAATAAGGGCAACCGATGTCAACGCTGCCACCGGCTTATCCACTGTGGGTACCTGTAAAATTTCAGCCAGATCTGGAGCCACATTATAGAGCTTCTTTTCTGCTCTGGACGGAGAAAGCCCTGCACCAGGGTTGCTCCATTGACGTTGGACAATGTCCAAAAATAATTTGGGTGATGGTACCACCTCAGCCTCAACTGTTGGCTCTGTAAAGAACACATGACCAGAACCCACCGGGTTAGGAGCAGGGTCTGGAACAGCCTCAGATTCCAAATTTGTAATAGACTGGCCTTACAAAGCAATGGTTTGAACAGGTCTGGTTCTGTATCCATCCCCTCATCTTCAGAAAAGGCCATAAATTCTTCATCCTCAGCCGAGAAATTACCACTTCTGATAGAATGGGCCACAGATGGGAAACTCTGAGGACCATCCAAGCCTCCTGATGTACAAGATGCAATAATGGAGGCTGATGGAGAAGGTTGGTTCCTTTGCTGTAAGCCTATGGCTATACCTTGAAAAATCAGTTGCTGCAAATGATCAGGCACTGCTGACCCAGTTTCCTCTTGTGGACGGATCCCCGCTGCAGTCGGAGTAAAGGAAGCTGCAGGCTCTGAAGTGGTATGCAGGCGTGGCTCTGCAAAATTTGCTGCAGGCAAACTGCGGTTTGCAAATGCAAAGACTTCAGCTCTATCCAAAACATCCCTTAAGGCTGGAGAAGATGATTCCCTGGTGCCCTCTGGTGACCGGGCACTGTAAGAGCTGGCTGCAAAGGAGCCGGATCATTAATAGGATCCACTGATTCCTCTCCTTGAGGGCGGGAAAGTTCTGCTCCTTCTCTGGGGGGGGGGTAACTTTGCTCCTGGCTCTGTTTAGCTTTCTGGAGCTTGGCCAGTTCTTTTTCCAAGGCCTTTTGACGCCGTTCTGCGTCTTTTTTGGCTGATTTGGAGCCCCTCTTGCCACTCGAAGTGGCTGCCTGGCTCCTGGTTGTTGCCCCTTTTGCTGCAGCCCTCTGGCCCCATCCCTCTGACCCAGGGAGGTTGTAGGGCAAGCCCTCTTGACCCCTTTCTAGGTCTGCTGGCTGGTGGAAGGCGTGCACAATGCCATTTTCTGCCATGAAAAAGGCAAGCTGGCCCGCGAAGGGCTGAAACTGCCACGGCTGTAATTTGCACTCCCATGCACTTCTGCTGCTTTACAGTGTGCTCAAACGAACTGGGCACGGACTGATTGCCCCTCTGCCCTCCAGCGGGATTGCCTGGGCCCCGGCTCAAATGGTAGCTGGCCTACTAATTCCCTGCCACTAAATGTGGCTGGCAGGACCTCGGCTGCTGAGAGCCAGCAGAAGGCCACTAACCAGCGGACCAGTTAGCAGTCCTGATCGCAGAGGCGATCTGCTCAATAAATTTCTTAAATCGCTTCCAATAAGCTCACACTTTGTTGATCACAGAATCGAAGGCGAAGCTGCTCATTCTCACATCTCTCTTCTGCACTGAAGACTGAGCCAAACTGAGGAAGCACCAGGCAAGGAAGGAGGGACTACACATGCAAATTATGATCACATGCTCAGTCTCCAGGCAGAAGAAGAACAGAGCAACACCCATCCTGGATTCTCCAGCTCCAGGGAGAGAAAAAATATTTGCTCAAAATCACTACAATGGAAATGTAGAAAATCACTATGATGGAAGCTACCTAATCATAGTTCAGGGCCTTAAATACTGTACCATTACTGGTCTATTATTTACTGTACAACCGTGTAAGAAATTACTATAATGCCTACAAAATTGTCCAAGAGTAAGGAAATGTTCTTTTAACTCCAATAATAGGTGTAACTGAGCTAGGAAAAATCCATGAGTATTCTCAGTCAATATTCCATCCTAACAAATTATATCTATAGGATCTCTAGCTGTTGTCAATTCTCCCATGTTTACTTCAGAAATTATACAGAATGGCAATTTGGTAAAAATTAAAAGGTCAATTAATTGAACTTCATGTCAAAAAAACCCTACCTCTGAATGTTAATAACTAATCTTAGATAAGATCGATCAATCGATCAATTGATCTTCTGATTGAATTATTGATTAGACAGGATTGCACTGTTCAAATGTGAAGGTTCTCTGAAATCTATAATAACTGAAAAAAGCTGGTGCTATAGAGTAGACTTGTCAATGGAAGACATTATCTCAATTATCTATGTACAATGACTAGGTTTACCATTATGCATTCCATGTAACTTTGCCTTGAAAGATGATTTGGAGCCACCCAATTAGCACCAAGTAGGTATCTAGATCACATGATACTAACACTACATTTCTAACTCCATGATAGAGGTTTGAATAGGGAATTTAAGGAAAAGACTCCTTTCAACAGTATCTCCCCAAAGAAGAAAGCACTGAAGATCCATTTATTTTTTTTATTGCCTTCTTCATTGTGGTTTCTGATAATCAATTATGTCAGTTATGTTTTAAATATTAGAACTCTCCTGGTAAAATATTATTGTTGAGTTGCATTGATGATGATCATTGTTTATCAATGAAGTCGGTTTTAAAAGGGCTTTTGATCTTAATGGCAACCGATAAATAAATAAGCAAGCAAGCATTTACCAATGGGCAAATCCACCATACTTGGAGAACATTTGTTGTCACAGAAAGTATATGAAGAATAAACAGATCCAAATTCATAGGCAAAAGTTTAGAATAACTTCTTCCTTGACCTCTATCTATGCAATACATGGATGGATGGTCATGTGCATTTCCTATGTTTAAAAGCAGGCAGTTACGGAAGTTTTGCTCATGGGTCTCCCCAACAATGGTGCTTTAGAAACTACTTTAGTGCTAAGTACTTTGGGAGATTTGGGGCTCAAAGCAGTATAAACCTAAGTAGATCAAGCAAGGGCTAATTACTTCACAGAATAAAATTTAGTCCGTCTAGTTGATGCTGTGGTTTAAACATCCCAAATTTTGCAATACAAAATGGATTTGTGTCTTTTTCACTACACCAAATTTATTTCAAATAGTTTTCAGCTTGCTGCAGGACAGCTGGGAAGAAATGTAGAAAGTCCTTTTCCTCAAACAAATGAATTCAATCTGTGAGTGATTAAAAGAGTAGGATAAAATTCAAAAGAAATAATGTATGCAGATTAACTAATGTTTGTGAAAGATCATGTTTGTACAAGTACTTTTATAGTTGACAGAATACAACTTATGAGGAAAAGATACAAGGAACCAAAATAAGGTTCTAAATGGGATTTAGATGCTTTTTCATTTTCAATTGAAATGCACCTTCTATTTAAAAAACTCAACAAATAGAACATCCTTTTTTGTTTATTTTCCTATCTTTGCTGATCAAACCTTATGTGAAAAACACTGGAATCAATGTGGGATCAAATTTATATAACCTGAAAATCTCAATCAAAGAAATGAATTAACCAGAAGATATTCAAATCACTTCCACATTTAACTAGCATCAGCAAAGTAATTTCCACGTCTATTTAATTTTAAAAATGGAGACTAACCTCAAATTCTGTTTGTTGAGCATGACATTTTCAACATTTTGTACTTAACTGTAAGGCTTGTCCATGGAATATATAATATTAATATAACTATATGGAATAATAAGATCGTACACAAATGAAGATTTTTTTTTTATTGAGGTGTTTCAGTAAGAAACAGAGCAAAACACTGAAAACAAATGATGAGGTGGAAGACTGGAAGACATGATTCTACTAATAGTTTTTTTTTAAAAAAAAATATGCTGGGCCTCAACTTTGCTAAGAAAGTCAGTACCCAATTTTCTAGTGAGACAAGAGGCTTCTGCAGTTCTTCAATGCTGAAAAGCCATGACTCTTCCTATTATTGGAACACTCTTTGTTGCCTATATTCTGTGGTTAAATTCTTGGCTCAGGCTTCATTCAAATTAAATCATTATCACAATCTTTAATTACTTTCAACAAGGAAATGTGAAAACATATAACCAAGAATAGCAACACACTGAAGAGTTCTATATATTATTTCAAGGAACAAGCAATATTTGCACATCTGATCTACCATCTGTCTCATATGGGCCTGATTTTATGAAATGCCATGTCCCTTTGCTGCAAACTCAGATGCCACTGTTTATAGGCACCCTTCTATGTGCTAAACACCCCAGCCACTCAGATCTGAAACTAACCACATATTTTACTGTTTTAACCTTAGTTAGTTTAAAGACAGATTTCACAGATCTGCATAAGGCTTACCTGCCACAGGTATGGCGTGGATCTGTGCCCGTGACAGGAGTTCCAACGATGGCTCACGTCCAGAAACTCCATCTGAAGAGAAACATGATTCAGTTTCGTAAATTGTCTGCAACATCTCTGGCAGTCCCCACACTGAGGATACAAGAAGCATGCCAAAGAATGATTATGCTCTGTCGTTATTCCACTTCAGTTTGCCTTGATGACAATCCGTTGTCCAACTAAAGGGGTGTTTCTTGTTATGCTAGACTGTCAACTCAAACCATCCAACATTCTCCTAAAACAGCTGCAACCATGCAGGCATCCATCCTCCTTGGAGAAGACTATCCTTGAAAAAGTTAAATTGTTTCACAGCAATGGTGTGGTGGCGAGGAAATCTCCAAGGCTAAATCAAAGCTGTCAGGAGAGAAAACAAAAATACTTGCAGATGAAAATCTCCTTTCAAGAAGATAGCAGCAGAAGTGAAAATTGTTTCATCCACACCAGATTGAAAGGGACAGGACTTGCAAGACACAGGAACAGGCAGAGGCAAAAGATAATGGAAAAGGAGGAAACGTCTTATATCTTAGCCATGATTTATTTTACTCTGAAAGGGACAAATTTAGCAACATCTTCTTAGAACTCAGGAGATGTTTCTAAAAAACAGAACATCCCTAGAGTGATAGATTTATTTTGAAGAGGTTCCTGAAAAATAGAGCAGCAGCTCCTTGCCATTCCTACAAGGGGCCCATTTTTGTAAGATGCAAGAGACTGCTCCAGTCACACAATTGTTTCCCAACCCAGTCACCAAATGATATGGCTTCTGCTGGGGGTGACCTGAAATAGAATGTCAGGGAGGAACTAGCTATAAATAAACTCAGCTGAGCTTTCTCCAAGCAGGGAGGGTTCAGGCAAAAGGAGCTGCCTGCCTATCAGAAACTGGATTTCGACCCGGGATCAGCGGAAAAAGATTCCCAGAGGGAAAGGCTGTACCGCTTGCCAACTGAGAAAAGGAAGGCGACACAAGAACAAAAGGGAAGGGAATGACCCTTTCTGTGTTCTGGATGCCAGAGTCCACCTACAGACATTGCCTAGCTGGTTAAAACACTTTTTCAAGCACAGAGATCATTGAAACAACAGCAGTAAAATGCCAAAGGCTATAATCTTAACTCCATATTTGCAGAAAAGCAAAGCTGAATACAATCTGCTAAAAAGAAAAAGGAGGAAAAACCACAACAACCAACCATAACTACAATTATGTCCTTAAAAGCAAAATGTCTGTGTCTTGGATAAATTATATATTCTATGTGTATTAACATGTATTTTTTATTATCGCTGTTCCTAAAGAGTTATCGAGAAGAATCAGATGAATTTTATGTTTTATATTTTATTTGATGCGAACAACATTTGCTAATTCTGACAAAAGACTTTATTAGCTGAAGAACAGACAAACATGGAGATGGTTAAGTAAATTCAGTGAAATTGCTGAAATGGTGTGAATTGCTGATTTTATATTTCTGTTCCTATATTTGCAATCAATTTGGGTGTTCTATAAGTGTGTGGACCAATCTCCAGGATTCTTAGTAATGGCCAAACTGTCTGGGGAATACTGGAAGCTGAGATTCATCTTGAAGGCACCCAGATTGGAGGCAGCTATTTATTTATTTAATTTATTTAATAATTTTAAACTATTTTAACTGATGTTGTTTTGTGTTTTTAATAGGCTGTACACCGCCCTGAGTCCTTCGGGAGAAGGGCGGTATAGAAATAAAATTTATTACTATTATTATTATTATTATTATTATTATTATTATTATTATTATTATTATAAGACATCAGAAAGAAATTGTTCCCCATCACAACACTAAACACACACACACACACACACACATTTTATATCTCTAGCATCCCTTCCACAGAAGCAGGGATAACACAGCATATGGCTCTCTATTAACAACTCCCATGATACCTCGCATTGACCATACTAGCCGGGGACAACATGACTTGGAATTCAGCATCATCTGGAGGTGATTCACAGTTACTTCATTTCTGCTAAATCCTGCAACACAATCCCACAAATGATGAGCTATACTTTTTAAAGAACATGGAGAATGCAACTGTGCAGCACAAAACACTTTAAAGTTAATTAAGCTTCCTCTAATTCCTCACCTTCTGAATGCAACATTTCAAGATAGTCTGTGAAATAACTAAAGGTTTTACTAAATATACTTAGAATAAAGAAATGGCAATGCACAAACTTTTACAGAAAAATACTAACTTATAATAATATTTCCATACAAGTAAATGCAGTATTCCTGAACTTCATAGCTATGTTGATCTGGACACTTACCAGAGTAAGTAAGGGGATGTATCTGGTTTATGGGCTCTAATAAACAGCCAGTTTTTTGTTTTTGTTTTTGTTTTTAATTTTGATTTATATGCCGCCCTTCTCCAGAGACTCAGGGCGGCTTACAATGTGCTAAGCAATAGCCTTCATACTTTTGTATATTTATACAAAGTCAGCTTATTGCCCCTACAACTGGGTCCTCAATTTACCTACCTTAGAAAGGATGGAAGGCTGAGTCAAACTTGAGCCTGGCGAGATTCGAACCCGCAGTAATTGCAGGCAGCTGGTCTTAATAACAGGGTGCTTTAGACCACTGTACTACCAAGTACAATTAGTATCAATTAGTTTGGTCTAGTAGTTAAGGCATCAGGTTAGAAAATAGGAGAATGTGAATTCTGGTCCCACCTTAGGCATGAAAGTTAGTTGAGTGATCTGGGGTCAATCACTCTCTCTCAGCCCAACCCACCTCACAGGATTGTTGTTGTAGGGAAAATAGGAGGAGGGGAGAAATATCAGATAGGTTTGCTGCCATGAATTATTTATAAAAATTAGAAAGGCGGGGAAAAAATAAAGTGATTTAGCACCAACAATTCTGAATTAGATGCAGGGTTAATCTAATGTTGCTGATAAAGTAATATTTATCTACATACTTCCCTATGACATTGAAATCATAGATTATAAAAAGAAATAAAATTATCCTTATGATCAGATCAGATCTCACGGCAATAGATCTGAGGCTTGAAGTTTAAATCAACAGGTTCAAGTTGTTGATCTTTTCCTAGGTCTCTTTTAAAAATAGCTCTTCCTCAAGCTTCACCTACTTTTTGGACTTGCCTATCCTACGGCATAGAATAGGGACTGACCCTGGAGATTTGAGAGGTAGAGCCATAGACTGCAACCAGAGCCAAGCCAATTTGTTGCCCGACTAAGGCCAACATCTGCTTCTCTTCACATAGCCTTTTTTGGGTAAAGTTGGTATTCTAAACTTGGTAGAATTCTTTCTCATTGAATTTAAACCTATAAAGCCTACATGGCATAGGGCCAGTCTATTGGCAAAATTGCCTTTCTTCCATTGTCTCTGCTTGCCCCACCAGATCTAGCAAAAAGGATTTCCTACGCAGCCCTTTTATCAAACAATGTCCTCTTATTGTACCTCAGAGTTGGGCCTTTTAAGTGGCAGTGCTTGCTCATGAAACAACATCCCCTGCCTGATATTTAAATGACCCCCAACCCCATTAGTCTTTTGCAAGGCACTGAGACCTGGTTGTTTTCCCAGACATTTGGATCAAAATAAGGAAATTATCTCGATAGAAATATGCAAGAATTGTTACCTAGGCAAAGAGCCCAGAAACATTTTTAAGCCACTTGCAACATTACAATATTCAAAAGCTGCTCAGGCAGCTACCACCCGATGCACTGAAATATAAGACTGGGAAGAAGCTACAGCACAATCAGAATTGTAAGATACTGTTATTATAGCTAATTTCAATAAAAGTAATTCCAGGTCTTCCTATGGAATTGATTTTCTGGTCTGGTTTACTTAGCGGGGATGACAGGAAGGTAGATTAGCTCTGCTACAGGAGGGTAAATTAACATGTGTTTATGGGAGTGGAGTTAATTTTTTATCCTTTGGTGCCAGGGGCTATATGTTGTGGTTTTGTCTTTTAATCTTTGTACGCTGCCAAGAGTCGCTTATGGGTAGCTAAACAAAAAGACAACCAAACAAACTCTCCTGTCACCCATTATGAATACAATTAAATATACTGAGCTACCTGTATTTATTGTAGTCAGAGATTCTTCTTCTCCTTCTTTGGTCCCCTCACTGCAAAACATCGGGCTACAGGTATCTGCAGGAATCTATCCCTGCTTATGCACAAGATTTTATGTTAAGTTCCTCCATACCATCATTAGAGCAGAATAGTAGAACTGCCTAAATGTGCAGTACTGGATTGCTGGATCATTTTCAGATGTAAAGTGGCTTTGCAAAATAGGTCACTACAATTCCATTTTCCAGATGGAGAATTAAAAAGAGGGAAGACAGCATAATTCAAGACAGCGAAACTTCTAACTTCTCTCGGTCCCAATATCACCAATCTGACCCAGAAAGCTAGACATATATGGCAATTTGGTGGCAAACCATACCTTTTGATGCTTAAAGATTTAAATTTAATTCCCTATATCACAAGATAGGCCTAGAAAGTCATCTATAAAAAAACTCAATATTAATGGGCTATATTAAGTAAATAGGCAGAAGAATGCATATATGGTCCATAGACGATAGGTTGTCCAACCCAATATAACCAACACTGTGCTAAGTACAGAAAATCCTCAACTTATAACCATTTGTTTAGTGACTGTTCAAAATTACAATGGCACTGAAACTTATGACTATTTTTCACATAATCATTGTAAAATCCCCATGGTCAAAAATTTGGATGGCTTGGCAACTGGCGTATTGGATGCTTGAATGCTTGGCAACTGGCTGCAATGTCCCAGGTCATGTGATTACCTTTTGTAAACTACTGACAAGCAAAGTCAATAAAGCCAGATTCACTTAACAAATGTGCTACTAATTACCAATGCAGTAATTCACTTAATAACTGTGGCAAAAAAGGCTGTAAAATGGGGCAACATTCACTTAACAACTGACCTGTTTAGCAACATTTGGGGCTCAAATGTGGTCATAAATCAAAAACTACCTGTATTATTAATAGTCTGATTTGGTATAGGTAGTTCTCGATTTATAACCACAGTTTATGTTGCTAAGCAAGGAGGCTGAATTTATGATCTGTTTTATCTGATTGTTAAGTGAATCATGCAGTTAAGTGAATCCAGCTTCCCCCACTGATTTCCCCCTTGACTTGTTGGAAGACAGCTGGAAAGATCACAAATGGTGATTACATGAGCTTGGGATGCTGCAACCATCATAAATACATGTATGCCAAGGACTCAAATTTTGATCACATGACTTTGGGGATGCTGTGATGGTCGTAGTATGGTCGTAGTCACATTTTTTAGTGTTCCTGTTGTAACTTCGAACGATTGCTAAATGAACGTTTTTAAGTCGAGGACTATCTGTTTATAACTTCTCCCTATGTACCCAAGATTACTTTCCTCGTTCCCCCTATCCCACGTATTACAGGAATAGATCAGAGCATGCTTATCCCTACAGCCATTTGGATATTTCTAGGCAGGTCAAGAGCAAGGCCTGTATTTACCAGCATGTTATTTCAAAGCCAGAGTTTTAAAATAGCCCTGTGTTATTTATAGACTTTAAGCCTACTCGGTCCCTCTGTCTACACTCCACTTCATGTCCTTTTAGAC